TAAGAATTCAGTTTGGATCCGTATCCAAGACATGTCTGGATGATCAAGTTCAAACTTCACACACACACAAGGTACATCATGTCACAAATATGTATGTGCATTTGTTTCATGATCCGCTTAGCAATAGCTGAATGATGGCCATTTTAAGGCCGAAAATGCATTAAAATCACGTATTTTCACAATTCCAGAACCGGATCTCAGTCATGCATGCATGGATTTTGTTCAGATTTAGTACAATGTGTTGTACATATGCAGGTGCATTTCGGTCATGATCTGCTTTGAATGTATATGTCACTCAAATATGAACGGAATGGGGACGTGTCATTGACAATGACTTGTTATTCTACAAGTTCACATTGATTTAGTTAATAGCAAATTTCACTTATCAGTGAAAATAGCAAAACGAAAAACCAGTAAATAATTAATCTGTTGACACTTTAAAATGCATTATTTTATTAAACAAGAACAATTTTGCCAACATTTCTAAGCCATGTATATTGCAAGATTGCATTTCCATTTTTTATGATCTGAACTTTTTATTTTTTTTTTATTTTGTACAGTTCATGATAAATTATCCTACATAATCTTGAAATCAAATTTTGAAGTATCACCTAAAATTAAAGTTGCCATTTTGAATACAGTCTTGAAAACTAAACGAGGTCATCAACGTTCCGTAATGTCCAACATATGTACTTAAGTTTGAAAGAAATCCATCCGTACATGACCAAATGTTATTTTCGGCAAAGAGACTTAATATATCCCTTAATATGGTGAGCTGTCATTGCATAATTCTTTCGATGGTGGGTGTTGACTAACCACTCACTCCTATAACAAAACATTATTTTAGGAGCCGATTACCCTGGGCTCTATTAAAGTCAGACGAGTATGGTACTTTAATTTGAGAGGAAAGTTGAAAGCTGGTCACATGCCTAATTAATATGCATATCATATGCAAAACCATGGGCGGTGCCCTTGCAATGGTGGTAACTATAACAGTTTATGAAGTAGGTATGGTCATATTTACTGGTAATTGTTGTACTTGGAGACCACATTTACACTGTTTGCAAATCTATATGCTGCAGTTAATTTCTCATTACATCTCCATAATCCCAATATTTAATGGTGTGTGTATATATATATATATCTATATATATACACATCGGTCAGGAAATATTTCTATCATCTGATCTTCATACACTGTGCTCTCAAGATTTCCGTCTAATGAATTACCATCAGTCTCAAGAAATGTTGTGTAATATTCCTTTGGTTCTGGGTCATTCAAAAAACAAAAAAATATCTGAATTAATGACTGTAGAGGGCGTCGGTCACAACTTAAGTGCAGCACATTCTTTACTTGCCTCTCTGGAGGGTCTTAATAACTGTTGTGTACATTTACCAGTGATTATTAACAACAAATTATAAACTTGTTTTGCTATCGTGATAAATCAATTATTCTTTGTGGTTATTGTAAAATACTTTATTTTAGCTGGAATTAATTTTTACTGAAAGAAATTTTTGGGTGTTTTGTATATACCATTGTTTATTTTCACAAATTTGTAATGAGTTGAATGTAAAACATAGGTATATTTGCTAGAATTTAAATTTGACTGAATCATCCCTTCAGTGAAAATAGCAAAAATAAAGTATTTTACACCAAGGTAAACTGG